TCAGTGACAGAACATCTGATCAACTCAGGACATTCAGCGCCATTCGAAAAATCCTTCAAAATTATATACAAGATTCCATCAAAACCTACCAAAGGGAGTAAAATTAAGACATCTGGGTATAGCCAAGGTAATGGCCATCCAAAAGCTCAAACCCACGCTAGCCATGGCCATCATAAACAAGTAGTCCTTTTAATAGTGACTATCCCATTACCTTTCTTATCCAGACTTCCTGTTTATTCATGTTATTTTTAAGTTTTTTCTTAATCCCTATTTATACTACCATATTTTCATATCCGAACTTCCTGTCTAATTTGCCATTTTATTGTTTCTACATACTTATTTAATCCCTAACTGCATAAACAATTATTCGTCACATTAGTTATGATCCCACTAGATTTTTTTATCCAAACATTCTATCTATTTTTGTTATTTCTACATTTCTAACCCCTAACTGCACAAGCAATGTCAATCTTCTTAGTAATTATGATGCTACTTTGTTTGAGTTTCATCCGTCCCCCGTGTTTATTACGGCATTTTAATTCCTAATTGTAATTTTGTTAATTTGACCCTTGACCGGAAATTATTCTGGAACTTTCCCGCCCACTTATTATAAATACAGAAATATAAAGTCTAGTTGGTGACTTCGTCTAAAAGAAAATTTTCTTCGCTGCAATTGTCCTTGTAATAGTTCCCTATGATCAAATGTGTATGTTCCGAAATTCCTCTATGTTAAGTAATGTTTTATTTGCCTAATAACGCTAGCAATGTTGCATCCCTTTCCAAGATATATACATTCTATGATATATGACATTATTTGTTTTATTACTTGATAATTAACTGTGATCACAAACACTTTAATTGCATTTCACCTTATTATGAGGGATTCACACCAGTCTAAATTGCCTTTCTTATACATATATATACGATAGTACAGCTTAACAACAAATTCATTGAAAAGTTTCTTCACTAAATATTGGGTTTTTAGCTTTACAATGAACCTCAACTATTTTTTACTAGCTCGCTAGTATTCTAGCCTGCCCCAAGACAGGGAAAAGACGGAGGGTTGGGCATGGGACCAACGACACTATCCCAGTAAATCAATCAAACTGCCAAGGAAACTTCAACGCGCAAGATAAATATTTTTAAAAAAAGTCTTTAAAAAACAAACAAAATTTTAATTCAAAGATGACATCGAAGGAGAAATTCTTAGAAACTGCCTTTCTAAATGTCTGAAGAAGACATTTCAAGCAGCCACCATCACATTCTCCACCAGACAATTAATCCAGTCTAACAACAAGGATAAGATACCACTTTTGGCCATCTCAATGTGGATCTATCAGTTTACTTGCTCGTGTGGAGCAAAGTATAAGAGTCGTACGCAACGTCAAGCCCACAGCATCCTCCAACACCTTATCAACTCTGGACGTCGAGCACCCTCATATTAATGCTTCACAGAGCCCCTCAATATCGTACAAAGGGACTTTGCATACGTCATCCGTACATAGCTGAATCATTGGCTATTGAGGATCTGAAACTGGAACTCTGAATTCAAAAGCACTACATGCATTCACTCGCCCTACCATGACGAGTGCTTCTTTCTTGTTATGTAAGTCTACTGTTATTATTATTGCTATTATCTTATTATCATTATTATTCCCATCATCCATACTTTATTACCCCTCTATTACTGTTTATTAATAACATTGCGAGAGGTGAAATGACACAGCGGGCTGGTGAAAGTCTCCGGAAAGCTAGTCAGCCGACGTGTCTTCTTCCAATGAAAGAAAGCATAAGAATGGGGATGTGGAATGTACGAAGCTGGCTGGGATGGCTGCCCAGGTAGCCGAAAAATGAGAAGATAATGACATAGAAGTGCTCAGAATCTGTGAGAGCAGGTGGAATGGATGTGGACTATCAAACTTGTCAATTGGAAAGTCAGTAATCTACTCCGGTCTGGTCACCCAGACGACAACCAACAGCACAATGAGGGAGTGACTATAATGATGTCACTAGTGGTGTGGTGAGAGCAAGCTGCTAGCCAATTGGTAGACATTGATCTACGCTGATTGGTAGAAATTAATCTAGGCTGATTCAACGACCGATCACAGCTGACCTAGACGTGGACAAATATGATTCGCAGACAAGTGGCTCGCATTTCCGAGAAATATCGAAAACGAGAAAGCAGAAGACTGCGTTTGTTTACAAACAACCAATCAGAAGACCGCCTTCTTTCTGCGGGCAGAAGCCTATTAATGTACGTAAAATACATATAAATACCTGTTGATTTTCGTAATAAAACTGATCTGTTGCCTGGCCCTTGTCTTCTGTTGTTACAGTGGCAGCCAAAGCCCTAATGCAGTGCAGTTGGAACCAATTTCAAACCCAGGATTATGACAGCAAGATTCAAGTCAAAAGGAATGAAGGTTACAATTATCCAATGCTACGCAAATTGAAGCTCTATGTTCCACTCGGAACAACAAGGGAATAATATTATATTATTTTTACCATACTTCCACGTGACATATCACATTTTAACTTAACACAGGTCTGTATCTATATTAGTAAATAAGTTAATATTGAGAATCGTTTGATATGATTACCGAAACATAATTCAAATTGCTGATGTCACAATACGTGAAGTGCTTGTTATCAACAGGTCATGACAAATGTTCTACTTCAGTAAACCGACAGTCATAACATTATAATTACACATCAAAATTTTAAATACTGTTTTTACCTACTCATGAGTAGTCAAAATACAGCTAAAATTTAAAGCGCCAAACAAGTTTCTTAACCGACACAAAATCTTAGGCGAACACTTCGCATTGTTCATCCCTTAATCTCACAGCTAATCAATTATCCATCATCATGAAATATATGCTCAGCCTTCCACTTTACAATTTTAATTAATTTAAGATTTAGACAGTTTCGTTCGACATGTCATCAGTAACGTTTCATTACATGTAATCATAAGCAGTTGTTTCAGACTGTGGTCTGTGTTTAGAGTCGTTCAATAGTCAGTGGAAAGTTTGTCCAGTAGTTGGTGGATACCACTTTGAAAAATGAATCCCATGACATTCGTTCATACTCGTTTAAAATCTAACAAATGGAATGTTTCGAGAAAAAATCTGAAACGTCGTGGTTTTGATATATATGTTACATTCCATCCAGCAGTTCGTTTCAATATCAGATTAATGTGGAAAGTTAAAGCAGAGTCAAAAGTCACTGGGAATAGAAAGAATGTCTTCTCATGACCGACCCGATTTCCAACGTGGAACTTTGCACAGAATTGCATCAGTTCAAGTTGCCACACTGATGATGGATCTAGGAGTTCATAAAGAGTGAATTTTATCTGTACCCCGTTCTTAAGAACGGTTACGATCTATGTCACTAAAATTCTCCAGCAATTGGATCGTAACGTCTCGAGAATCGAATCAGTCATATCTGCACCTCTTTTCTTCCTACGTAGCTGAGAGCAACATTCAGGGGCTTCATGTACTGATGTCATGTGTTGATGTGACCGACCCTAATTCTTTCCCAGCCAAATCCGAGGTTAGCTAACACTGTTCGACGAGGAAGGCGATGCCTTGGCATGCGTAACATGTGCCTAGCCACTTCAATCAATACAGTTTCATAATCTCCACACCTAACACTCTACGCCCAACCTCGGTCGATCGGTTTTCGACAGAGAACTTTGCACATATGTGCGGCAGTTCAAGTCGCCACACTCCATGTAGCACACAAAGCAAGAGAAGAAAGAAGGAGAAATGCATAATATAGACAGTAAACAGAGGTGTGAGACAAAGGAATAGTGATAACGAAGAACAAAACAGTTTCATTGGAAATCATAATTCACAAGGAGTGGATGCATCTGCACCCATCCATTGGGAACGATTTCGAGCCATATCACCAATCGTTTCCAACCATCGGTTTTTACCGTCTCGAGGACCCCAATCAGGAAGTCTACACCTTCCTACGTGACTTAGACTAACTGTTGTGGGTTTCATTGACTGGTGCTATGTTTTCGTTTGACCGCCACTAGCTCTTTTCCAGTCTGGCCCTATATCAGCTAACATTGCCCGTCGAGGAAGGCGATGACTAGGCATACGTAGCACATGTCCAAACCATCTCAGTCGATGTAATTTCACAGTCTCGTCGACTGATTTCCCCTCCTTACCTAGCACTCGACTTAAGCCTAACCTCAATATTGCTCACCTTATTATACCACTTCACACGGGAGATAGAACGCAGACACCTATGATCGAAGACAGATAATCTTTTCATGTCTTCTGCTCTCAATGGCCAAGTCTCACAGCCATAAAGTAGGACGGAGCGGACTGTTGAGCAGTACACACGCCCTTTGGTCGATAGTCGCCCAACCTAGACATCAATCATCATATTATACTACTGGATATGAGAGATAGGAAGCAAATACATCAGGTCAAAGATGACTAACACCCTCAAGTTTTCTAATTTCAACGGCCACTTTGCTCTCACAGTCACGAACAAGGATGGAATGAACTGATGCACGGGAACACACGGTGTTTAATCAACATCCGAAATTACGTCTACATCAAAGATTGCGAATGACACAGTAACCTTTTGTATCTGTGCTAAGATTTCGTCAGTAATGAGTGCATTAGGGCGGAGACAACAACCTCCCAAACAAGCAGATTAGCCAACACACACTCAACCAATTCCCTCCCTAGCGAAGCAGATCAGTCCAACAGCAGTAGTTTACATTTGACAGGGGCGGATTGCGTATCAAACATAGCAAGACCTCTGCCCAATATGTTCAGAAGACTCTGCTTAGTTTCTGTCGCACACCACTGTTCACAGTCAATGTGGAAACCTATTAGAAAACTTTCGCTTATCATCATCATCTTTGCAGCCCACTAGAACCAGTCTACAAACACAAAAAAAGACCACCATGAGCATATGAAACAAGAGTAGTTAAGCAGCACCATACTCGCCCCAATGAAAACTCTAAGACTGTTACCCAAAAATCTACATTTTATCTTCATTTCAACTGATGATCGCCTGCCTAGCAAGGATAAAAGCAGTGATAGGTACAGGAAAGATGATTAGTAAAGCCAGACTGCATAGATACTAGAAGGTAAATTGTTATCATGAGTCAAGGTAAAAGATGGGATATGAAAACTGGGAGGTAGTAACAAGTGATTCTCACATATATATAAAGGCTTCATGCACAAAAGTTACATAAACATAATGTGGGCAAAGCCAATTTTTTTATATATTGATCATAAGATACGCAGAAAGGCATAAAAAAGGTAATTGAAGGGGTTCGACAACAGAGAAGGAACATGCATTTTCATAGAAGAAGATAAAGGTGAAAGGAAACTAATTGTGTCAGGAGAACAACACGTGGAGTAGAAAATGCGTTAAAACTAAATGCAACAGAGTCAACTGATAAAAAAGAAACTCAATATAGAGAATGAGATCGATTTCATCACGGTTAAGATCCCCTCTGTAGATCGATCAGTGGTGTCTACCGAAACCTATAAAACCAAAAAGAAAAAAAAGAAGAGGGAATGAAATGTCTACGAGTGATCACGCTATTAAAGCGATATAATGACAGTAATGAAGTAAACACGACGATTTCAAGTTAACATGTAATCAACTCAGACATGTGAATGTATTATTCACAGGGGTCTTTTTAAAAGAAACAGTTTTCCACAGGATGATACATAAACACTAACTTTAATTTATAATCACTTTAAGAACACAAAGTCATGAATCGCCAAGGCCTCCGCTATCTTTAGAAGTCTGTACCGAAGTAAACGCGACTTTAAGCCAGACCTTTGTGTACAAAAGAAGTATGTATAATCCTTACTTCTGTCTTGGCCGTAAAGGGATACACATTTGTTTATTGTGTTTATTTAGTTATTCTATGTACCTTTCCCTTATTACTGTTATTACTATTCTCATTTTGAATTGTTTCCACTTGTCACACTTGTCATTCTAAATACAAAATTATTATTATGTTTTAATTTTACAATATTGAATTCTATCTTATCAAATTTCACATGTTATGTAACATTTTATATTCGCCTACTAATCCCATAAACATATGCACCCCTTTTCAACAGCTATACATTTTATGAATTATTCTATATATGACATTAATTGTTTTGCTACTTGACATTTAACTATGATTATAATCACAAATCTTTTAATTGCATTTCCATCCTATTATCATTTTCATAGCTTTACACCGATCCAATTCAAAAGAAACTTAGTTAAGTGTCTTAGCTATAGAATAAAACGCATATGCTCAGAGGAAGAAATGTGTAAACTGAAACTTACACTGCAATAAAAAATGGATATCCAGAGAACTTCCTAAAAAAGTAATGTCAATACCTAGAGACAAGGTAAAGGTGAATACCGTAGACAAGAAACCTTTGTATCTTGAGTTAAGTTACAAAGGGGAAATTGCAGCTGACATTCTAAAATGTCGACTTAAAAGAGCAGTAGAGAGAACATTTTCTGCAGGTAAACTGGTACTCAACTTCTCAACTAAACCAGTACTCACACAGCAAGTCAAGGATAAATTACCAAAGATGGCCTCATCAATGTGTATCTATGAAGTCAACTGCTCATGTGGAGCTAGTTACATTGGCCGTAATCAGAGGGCTTTATCCATGCGCGCGCGTGAAAATGGTTGAGTAAAGGAGTAACCAAATGCGTAAATAGTGCAGTCTTAGCCCACTTGGTAGATACTGGACACCGGATAAAACTTGACCAGGCGTTCTCAGTTATTTACCACGTCCCTAGTAATCTATCTAGAGGAGCTCGACTACGTCTTCTGTTAGTAGTTGAAGAAGACCATCTTTTTGCATACAGAGGAAGTATGTTCAACCTCTATGTTTACCTTGGCCTACAATAAAGCCAACAAATCCTCCATTAACACTATAAATTCCTTTCACAATTTTCTTTTCTTCTTCTTCTTCTATTCCTCTGTTTCATTGACAAACGTTCATTTTCGACTTTTATGACTTCATGACCTTTCTTATGATTTTATTACCTTAGGTTTAAGTAGTGCTTTTCTAACTTGCTATCGTATTTACAAAATCGTGTTCATTCCACTTCATTATATTCATTATTATTATTTAACAATCATTCACCTATAGTACTTGTAATTGTACACCATATCATCGTTATCATTTTACAATCATTCTTATTGTCGTTATTTTCAACCTCGAACTTATGTCTAGTCCGCCCCATTCGTTGGTTTATTTTTATATTGTCTCACACACCCCGATTACACACACTCTCGAAACTTGTATTTTCTGTTGACTATATTTACATATATATGCACACACACATCATTAAATTAAATTACTTCATCTCATTTTGTCCCATGTTCTCATTGACCATGCATATCTAAAAACTATCTGACTATTGTTCCATCCCATCTTATACTTGTTCCACAATACACTTTCTGATATGATTCTAATTTGCCTTTACTGGCTGGCTATTGTATACTTAAATTAATGGATTCATAATTGTAGAGCCTGAAGAAGAATTTATTGAAACCACAATTGTTTGCTCTAACTATTTTGTTCTGAATAAATTATGGGAATATTCAAAATGCTATTATTATTCAAGTATTGGCTTGTAGGGATTTGGTTGATTGCTTACAGGATTTCATCATGAGCTGACATTGGTTAGAGAATCATTGGAAAACCTGGGAGTACTGGAGAGCTGTTTCGTCCTAGTTTGGGAATCTTCATCAGTATGCACCCACCGGGGTTCGGACCCAGGACCTTCTGGTTACAAGACGATCGGATCAAGGCCATTGGATAGGGTCCCAGTGGCTCAATGACCTACGAACTCGCCTTGTAACCAGAAGGTCCTGGGTCCGAACCCCGGTGGGTGCGTACTGCCTAAGAGTCCCAAACTAGGACGAAACAGCTGTTCAGTACTCCCAGGTTTTCCGGTTGTTCTCTAACTGATGTCAGCTCATGATGAAATCCTCCATGCAATCAAACAAAATCCCAACAAAACCAATACTTGGAAATATATACGATTGTATAGCTTGATAATAAATTCGTTGAAAAGAGTCTCTTCGCTGAATATAATCACTTTGTTTACTTCAATAGGTATAAGCAATTTCTGCCAGTCATTAATATTATTATCACTACTATTATCATCTATTTTGTCTGACATGTCTAAACACTATGCATGCTATTTCCATTATTAAACAAACAATTTAAATTATGGGTAAACTGACGTCAAAATCTGGTATCTGAAATTTTTTGCAACATACCTAGATTATTTTGACTGACTGAAGAACCATGAGGTGAAGTGAGATTTGCACGGGGATCCAGAGGTAAAAGAGATACTTGGGAGATATGAGTCAGCTTGTACAGTTGGTCTCTGACCTGAAATAAAAATGTAATAAATTGAATATAGTAAATCATAATGGATAGAAAAAGACTAGTATGAATATAGAGTTTCATACATTTGGTTCCCTTGATAAATTTCGATAGAGAAAGGCCAGATTTGCAGCATAAAATGATATCATCATTCTATTTCACAGGCTATCATCAGCTGCACACTACCTGAAATTACAATGGTTATAAACAATGTTTGAAAGGTAATAGAGAAAACATTATAAGGTGAACGCATTTGGAATCTAAGTATTACAATTTTTAGTTTCAGTCGACATCAATTTATATGCAATCAAACTATGAAAAAATGGGGTGAGGGTGAGAGAAGATAAAAAAACAGAAAAATCTAATCAACAGTGTTAGCTTGTACGTCTACATAGAAAGTCAAGAAGGTTAAAGTTCATCAAATTGAAAACTTGCTTAGTGAGCTGAGCTCACTAGTGTGTATGACTAATCAGTGTAATGAAAGTAATATGGTTACCAAAGGAGTGAGAGATTGACTACACTCTCTTTCTGTGTGCATAAGTTTGGTCTGAAACGTTTGATTGCTATTCCTTCAGCAAATGGTAGTAAATTCACTGTGCTTTGCATGCTTAATATTTTGAAGGATTTGGCAATATCGACTAAATGACCCATATCCACAAGGTGTTTGGTAATTGCACTTTGTAAATATCTGCTTCCTTTTAAGCATAAGTTTCTTGGAATATGCTATGAATACAAGGATAGAAGCCCTTCTTTCTGTCCTTCTAATGTACTTGCTACCGCGGGTGCACGTAAATTTATAGATGCAGTTAGAGATAACATCAGTAGGGTACTTATCCAGTTTCGATTGGCTTATAGAGCATGTAGTGTTGTATAGTGTTCAATTTGATGAACTTTAACCTTCTTAAATTGGTATGTTGACGTACAAGCTAACACTGTTTATTAGATTTTTCTGTTTTCTGTCTTTTCTTACCCACCCCTTCTTTTTTTTACAGTTTGATAGCATATAAATTGATGGTGACTTAAACTAAAAATAATTGTAATACTTATATTTCGGATGCGTTCATCTTATAATGTTTTCTCTACTACCTTTCAAACATTGAAGTATGAAATGTCATTATTTATAACCATTGTAATATCAGGTCGTCCGCAGTTAGCTGATGATAGCCTGTGAAATAGAATGGTGATATCATTTTATACTGCAAATCTGGTCTTTCTTTCTCTATCAGAAGTTATTCATCAAATAATAAGTTTGTATTGTCCTAATGGGAATATTTACAAGGTTAATTGTACGATAATTAAAAAGAGACTGAGTTTGAAATTAGAGTTACGAAATATAAAAACAGTGAAGAAAATTGGGTGTTAATGAAATTAATGCAGTAACAAAGGTGATGAGTTGTCACAAACAGTTGTTAAAAAGGAGTTGCGTAATAATATGAATAGTTTGATGATTGAGTTGTATTCAGGATGCACATACGAACAAAGTAGAGAATACGAAATTACGTAAGATTTCTAAATGAATACAAGAATTATAAGCAACTAAAGAAAGATGCGAAAAAAGAAAATTAAGTCATCGAAAATGAACAAAGTTGTTGCCGTGATCATAGAAGTGGTTGAATAATGCTCCTTTGTATGCACAGCTCCGGTATTACTGTGTGAATGGTCAGAGCTTCAGCGATTCAAAGAAGATGAAACGGTATTGCCTTTGGTAGATTATTCTTGACTCTGTAGATTACTTTGAAGCAGGAGGCGTTTTTTGGAGATGGAATGATCAGCGTCAACAAGTGTTCAAGTGTCGCACTATTTATAGCGCCCCACTATTGCCTTTTCGCAACCATGCTGGATAGTGTTCTTTAATCCTCTTGGACAGGTGGCGCGTCGAACGACCAATGTACTTTTGTTGACCTTTGATGACTCAATTTCGTTTGTTTGCCTGTTTCTTTAATTGCTTATAATTCTTGTATTCATTTAGAACTCTTAGGTAATTTCGTATTCTCTACTTTGTTCGTATGAGCATCATGAGTACGACTCAATCGACCAAAGGGCGTGTGTACTGCTCAACAGTCCGCTCCGTCCTCCTTTATGGCTGTGAGACCTGGCCATTGAGAGCAGAAGACATGAAAAGGCTAGCTGTCTTTGATCATAGGTGTCTGCGTTCTATCTCCCGTGTGAAGTGGTATAATAAGGTGAGCAATATTGAGGTTAGGCGTCGAGTGCTAGGTAAAGCGGGGAAATCAATCGACGAAACGGTGAAATTACTTCGACTGAGATGGTTAGGACATGTGCTACGTATGCCTAGTCATCGCCTTCCTCGACGGGCAATGTTAGCTGATATAGGGCCAGGCTGGAAAAGAGCTAGCGGCGGTCAAACGAAAACATGGCACCAATCAATGAAATCTACAACAGTTAATCTAAGCCACGTAGGAAGATGTAGACTTCCTGGTTGGGGTCCTCGGGACGGTAAAAACCAATGGTTGGAAACAATTGGTGACATGGCTCAAAATCGTTCTCAGTGGCGCAGATGCATCCACTCCTTGTGACTTATGATTTCCAATTAAACTGTTTTGTTCTCCGTTATTACTATTCCTTTGTCTCACACCTCTGTTTACTGTTTCCATTATGCATTTCTTCTACTTCCTTCTCTTGCTTTGCGTGCTACATAGATTGTGGCGACTTGAACTGCCGCACATATGTGCAAAGTTCTATGTCGAAAACCGACCGACCGACCGACCAATCACCAAACTATTCATATTGTTGCGTAACGCCGTTTTATCAACTGTTTGTGACAACTCATCACCTTTGTTACTTACTACACTAGTTTCATTAACACCTAATTCTCTTGAACGTTTTTGTATATCGCAACTCTACCCGAAACTTACCAATTTTCATGAGTTGGTCACGGATTGATATCAGTTAGTAAACCATTGGAAACCGACAGGGAGTACTGGACAGCTGTTTCGTCCTAGCTTGGGAATCATCGGCAGTACGCACCGAGGACCTTCCGGTTATACGGTAAGCTCGTGTACCATTCAAGCACTGGGACCCGATTCATTGGCCAGCACATGAATTCTAACTTCTACCAATTCGTGATTTAGCAAGATCATCAACCAATGTCATCGGTGGGTGAATGGTATACGAGCTTGCCTTATAACCGGAAGGTCCTAGGTTCAAACCTCAGTGGATGGGTACTGATGATGATTGCTAAAATAGGACGAAACAGCTGTCCAGTACTCCAGTGCTAGTTTTCAATGATTCCCTAACTGATATCAGTCCATGATCAACTCGTAAAAACAAATCTAATCCTGATAATTACTAATTTTCACCTGTTTAGTTAAAATAACCATAACCAATTGTATTTTTGTTTGACAAACTTAATGTACACATGCATACAAAATAACTCATGTATATTTGCGATCGTACAGCTGAGAAAATGAATTCGCAGCCAAAAAGAGACTCTTCGCTGAACTACTTGTTTTGTTTTCATTAATCCCTGGATGGGGATTATTCATGAATTTTTGTATGTCATTTTAGTTGTTACTAAACGCGTCGGTGGCACAGCTGTTAGGACGCTCACCGACCGTGCATATGGTCCGGGGTTCGATCCTCGGCCAACTCACTCCTTTACCTCGCTAAGCCAGAAATGAAGCTGGTAGAGAGGAAAGGTTGGGCATGAAGCTAGCAACTCCATCCTGCTACAGAAACTTCAAGCCTCTAGCTAGAAGCCCTATTTTCCACTGGGAACGTGAATGAATTAATAATAATAATAAATAATAATTTTAGTAACATCTTTTTCCTAACTGACTCTGTATTTACTCTTTCTACTTATTACATAATTTATTTTGGACACTTGTCTTCATATTCTTTCATTAACATTCTATCTTTTTGAGTGCCTTTCATATTACGCAACCCTTGTCAATACTTACTAATCTTCACACACGCCCCTAGTTACAATTTGCATTATTCATCACATTTTTGAAACATTTTGATGACGTAAACAAGAACCCTGACTAATTTTTACTTTTGTTTGACAATCCTAATGTACACACACACGCACACAAAATAATTGTATATAAAAATGATTGCACAGCCAAGTGAATGAATTCGCCGAAAAGAGACTCTCCGTTTAACTTTGTTGTTCTTATAATCAGTTAAAAATACAAAAAAGGGTACCAACCAGTAATAGAGTGACTTCATACAGAGACTATTCCATTTATATCTAACTATGCAATAGATGACATAGTCTTCTGAGAGCATACGCATACATAAATCGAAAGAATTAACGGAATCTACACAATAGTTACATAACTATTGGTGTTTAGGTGACTTGCTTGTCAGTGATCACATTATCCTACTCCACAAAAGAAGGTGAATGGATACAGTTATGGTCGAAAACTGCAACCTTCTTCATCCTCGCTATTAAACTGCTATGTCTCGCGGAAACAAAGAAGGATAGGGTAAACTGCTCCACAGGAAACACGAAGGACACCATTGTTTATCACCATTTTAGATGGCAACTCTTCAAAGGCTTTAACGTAGCTGCATGAGCGTGGTTTAATTTCTCGACACTTCCTCCATGCCAAGATATCGGTCGGCAGAATCAAATGCCGCTTTCAGATCAAGCATTATGTTTAGTGATCGACGCCGATAAGAACATTCATGTTCTGAAATCTGTCGAATGGAGGACATATGATCAATACACCCTTGTTGTTGCCTAAAGCCTGCTAGTTTCCACGGGTTTGTTTCTCCCAAGCATAGTTTTGTCTAAGCATGATTATTAAACCTAGAATTTTGATGCTACATTTTCTCTCATTCCTTTACGTACCCAGTGGAACATAGGGTGGTTTCAAGCTAGAAACTCGAAGTTTTGGTAGCAATGGTATTTCTTTTTATGGGATGGGGTTGCTAGCCTCATGGCCAACATTCCCTCTCTACCAGTCTTATTACTGGCTTAACGATGTAAAGGAGTGCATCGACCGGGGGTCGAACCCCGGACCACGTGCATGGTCGGCAAGCGTCCTAACCACTATGCCACCAACGCACTGTGTAAGTTAGGCAAATCTCCTTAAGGTTTTCACAGGACGACTTGTCTTCTTTCTAATAAACTGGGGTAATCAACAACTTACACCAATCCAAAAGGACCAGCTGAGATTCCCAGGTTGTTCTAATTTCTGCAGGTGTAAGTAAAATGAAACAGCGTAGTAACATAGGTTAAACTTCTAATTTCAAACATTTGAGAACAATGAGAAAGGAGGGAAGAATCTAACTCCTGCATAATTAAAAAAACAAAAACAAATCGCATTAACTTTAACCGCTGGCAGAAATCTATGTGGAAAACTAAAGTGGAGTCTTCAGAGTAGTTGGTAAATGTGGGATATCAGCTTTCAAAAAAAGAGCTCATACTAGTGACTAACTACACATGAATACTCCATCAAATGTTATTTATAGACTTAGAATAAATAAAAATTCACAATCATGATAGTCTATGACAAAACTCAGAATAAGAACAAACAAATAATCTCGAGTTTCTCATGGGCGAGGGGGGGAAAGGTTTAGCCAAGCTTCATATACGGAAGCAAGTGATTAGCAAAGGTGACACTTTCAGGATGAGATCATTCAGTTATGTAATGGCACATATAAGGAAAAAAGAATTGTCATTACCTGTGTTTATCAATGTAGCTTCTCTAGGATATTGACAAACATTCGGAATAGAAACGAAAGACCAATTATTGACTGGCATACTCTGAGGTGTCAAAAAAGAATATGTGGGCATTTGGTGAGAACTAGTAGCTCCCGAAAGAGTCTTTTGAAGTTCCATGGATTCACTGGTACCAGATTTGATAGATGCAGTGTTAGCAGATGGTGCACGACCAGGAACACTTGATGAAAAGACTAGTCCAAAATCACCTGAATTCGAAAAACAAGGGCCACGTGACTGTGTATCAGCAGTAGGAAGTGACGACTTATTTTCTGTTTGCAGTCGTATCAAACGCTGAAGTTCCGATTGTAGCTCAGAGATACTAGCTTGTTGTTGCGTAATCTGGTTGGTAAGCAGCTAAAAAGCAAAAGATAACATTTCAGGCACTTTTAAAAATAAGGACACGATAAATTAAAAATCTTAGGGAAACTGTTTATTTAGAACACACTAATTGTTTATGAAGGTAAAGGCGAATACTGTATATACAGACGAGTTATTCAGCGATATATACTTAAGACCTTATAAGACATTAAGCTTAGAACTTGTTAACCTTCGGAAAAGTAATTCTACAATTATATTATAAGCAAGCATGACTTCCAATATATGGCAATTCATAGTATCTCGTATGACTACCAATCAACGTCAAGACTACTACACATAAACCTAAAAGAATTAGACAATATCATATTAAATTGCATAACTAAAATTCATAATAGGAAGGGAAGAATTCGACGTTGAGACCTACTGAACAAAAGTGTAGTGCCTACAGATCAATGATTCGCAACTACAAAAAGGTGCGGGGATATGATTTAGTTTCTTACGAGTTGATCACAGATTGATATCAGTTAGAGAACCACTGAAAACCAGCACTGGAGTACTGGACAGCTGTTTCATCCTAGTTTGGGAATCATCAGCAGTACGCACTCACCCCACCTAGGACCTTCCAGTTACAGAGCAAGCTAGCTCGTGTACCATTTAGCCACTGGGACCCGACTCATCAATGGCCAGCCAGCGAATGTATTCTAACTTCTACCAATTCGTGATTTAGCGTGACCCCAACCAATGTCGTCGGTGGGACATCCATCCTCACACGTGACATCTGGATGGACCTCACTGGTCACGACTTCTCACTAGAACTCCAGGAAACTCCATCCTGTAGCAAGTCACTAGCGAGCATCAGATTAATTTTCTATAGTTGGTTTGTAAGGGTTAATTTTGTTTTTTACGAGTTGATCACGGATTGATATCAGTTAGAGAACCATGAATGTCGAACAGTTCATATCACACCTTCTTTTGGTTTATGAACTAGAAGGATGTAATATTATTGCAAAGAACTGAAATTACTCTCAGTGATCGTGTTACTGCTAGTATTTCGAAAAAAATCCACTAATATTTATCAAGTAAGCTTTAGAACTTTCTCATTTTTTGATGGAAACCATAAACCAACCAGCAAAAAATGTTCCAATTCTTACTTGGGAATGCTAAGCAAAGCAAAGGAGATTCCAAATATTATTAGATGCAACATGAATAGTGAATTTTTAACAGGGATGAAAATATTGACTCAGCAGGTAAAATAGTACTATCATCAAAATGTTATGAAAGAGAGTTAGGAAGTAATCCTACCTGAATCTGAGAAACAGCATGGACTCCACTGTTTAAAACTGCTTGATCAGAATCCTTAAAACTTGTAGGAGGAATTACACCTGAATTCTGTGAACACACATTAGGCATAGTTTTCAATGACTGCTCCTGCCTACAGGCCATTGATTGACAAGGCAAACCGGAATCTGTCACTAATACTTGATTACAACTTGCTGATGCTGGGACGCAATGGCAATGGTGATAGGCAACAGGTCCAATAGATGAACCGCGTGGACCAAACGATGTTGGTGCTGGAAGCGATAGGTGAGACGAGTTGTGCCACATCAACTGATTGACTGCTGTATTCAACTGAGAGTTTTCAAGCATTAAACAACGACACAATTGAAAAAGCTGGGCTACACTCGATTCTAGGCGCTGAATACCTAAATAATAAAGGTAAATACAATACAGGTACTTTTATAATTTATCTTCTCGTAAAGTTTAGCACACAAAAGTGGAATAAATGTCAGGATGTTGAAAAAGGTGATTCATTTGTGTTTGTAATCTCTTAAAACAGCTTTTCCATGCAATATCTGAAATTGATAACAACACAGACAAACGAACAGACAGACAATGTAGCAAAGAATTAAACCGTCTGCCCAAACTGCTCACATTCACTGGTCTATACTTTGATTGAACACTAACTAGTGCCATGCGTCTAGTCCTTTGTTTACTGTAGCCTAAAAATTCTATCAGTCAAGTTTGCAATGTGGTCACCATACCAGGTGGCTCGCGCCATCACGATGCATTCAGAATTGTTGTTATTAGATGGTTGGAGGCAGCAATCAGAAAGAAGCCTTGAGCCAAGGTTTCGTGCTTGTTGGCACTTACCAGTCAGTAAGGCGTATCTGCAATCTTGAATGGAAAATTCTGAGTGCATCGTGACGGATAGCCACCTGGCATAGTGACCGTATTGCAAATTCGACCGATAGAATTTTGTCTAAAGCAAACAAAGGATTAGACGTTTGACGCTAGTGTCCAATCAAAGTACCTAATACAGTCGTGAGCTCGAATAACTCAATGGTAACGACTCTGACTGCAGCACTCGGTGACACAGATTAGAATCTCAGAAGGGACAAGAGTTCCTTCAAGGCTGCATATACGCCTTGCTGACTGGTGGGGACCAACAAGCACGACATTTAAGTGTCCAAGGCTTCCTACCGATTGCCTCCTACCACGTAACAGTAACAATCAGTGGTACAGACTTATTTCGAATGAATTTATTTAGATTCAGTAACAAATGTATACACATTTATCTACATTGAGGGTTGATCTCAATTGACAAACGACTGATTTGTGTGAATTAAGTTTCTTGAACATCGTTTTAGACTTAACTACGTTAATTAAACAGCTATAGATGATACTAAGACTAGTTCGATGCTACTTTGATATAATCAAGAAATAACATTAAAATTCCTAGAAGGTATTATAAAAAAGATCTGCAAAATAAACGATATTTTCATAATTCCTGATTGCAGCAGATTGGATAATGCGACAAACAGCGGGCAATGAGGAAACAGGCATAAAATGGACTCACACAAAATACTTGGAGGATCTAGACTTCGCCGATGATATATGTCTGACTTCCCACAAACTGGAAGATATGCAAGCGAAAAGCAACAAGTTGGCAGAAGAAGCATCCTGAGAAAGTAGGACTTCAGGTGAACATACAGAAAACAGAGCCCGTATTCACCCAGAGGTGATGAAGATTCCTAGGAAACACCACCAACAGCAACAACAACAGACAACAATCAGCATAAATGGAAGGAACCTGTGAAGCATCGTTTCAAATACAGGCGGAATTGACGAGGATATCAAAGCAAGAATCGGAAAGGCAAGACAAGCTTTCACTACTCTCAAGTCCGTGTGGAGGTCAACAGCACTCAGCATCAAAAATAAGATCCAGATTTTCAACTCCAATGTGAAGTCAGTCAGTGCTACTTACTATACGGATCAGAGACTTGCACTGTGCGTCATAAAGAGCATCTCAAACAAACTACAGACCTTCATTAACAGTTGTCTTCGCTCAATACTTTGCTCAAGATCAGATGGCCAGCCGGACAGAAAAGATCAGCAACAGAGATCTCTGGCAATGAGCGAACCAACACAGCAGGAACCGATTGTGAAACAAATAGGCAGGAAGAAATCGAGGTGGAATGGATTGGCCATACTCTGAGGAAACCATCAAGTGATATCACTAGACAAGCCATTGCTCGAGTGGAAACCGAAAGGGAAGCGGCGAGTTGGTCGTCAGTGCAAGGGTGACTTGGAGGAGGTCATGTGAAGAGGAGATGAAGGTGTGTGGGCAGACTTGGAGCCATGTGAAGACTCTAGCAGAGAACCGAACGCAGTGGAGACGCACGGCTGAAGCCCTATGTTCCTCTAGTAATTAAAGGAAACAATAATAATAATAATCATTATTCCGTAACAAAGACTCGTGCACTTAGTTGAATAACTAACTGCATTTTAAAATACTGTGTACAGTACATTCTGTTATCAGATGATTCCTAACTCAGAGATTGTATTACCTCGACAAAACAAAAGGATTACCAAAAGCATTACTAAAATGTAAACTGAGTAGCATCCTTAAAAACTGCTGATTCCAGTGAAGTGAATAAGATAGGAGGACAACAAGGCTGTATTGAATAAAGGCATCAAGCTATCATGGAAAGTAGGTAACTATTTAATCATCTGGAACACAAAAAACACTTGTTGTAGTTGCAGCTTGATGAATGGACAATGAAATGGTAACAATAAGAAAAAACAAATTTTGTAGTAGCAGTAGGCTTTAGGAAATGCATTGCAACATGCAGCGATGCTGAGTATGACAAACACTTGAGCATTTTGAATAAAAATTACTCAAACCAGACAATGAGCTACAATTTACGAATCCAATTCATTTCCAAATGAATATAATTCAGCTGGCTGGACAAATCAGTCACAATTCCAAAACAGTGTACATGAGGAAAAAGGCAACAACACACTTAGCTATTACAGTTACTTGTACTACCCTTTAACCACTTGTAAACACTGCTAATGACCTCCTGCAACACTTGCTTATTAACATAATCAATTCAAGTAACTTACGTTCATTAGCTATTGCACAAGACATATCTGACATTCGACCATCATCAAAATCATTGCAAATCGGTGCAACAACCATATGACTAGCAGCAGTTTGGCTAACAGAAGTATTTGTAGAGTCACCTAGCTGATTTTGTTGTGAATTCATACGATGATTCGCCATAGTGTTTAGATTATCTTGTCTTTGACTTTGAGTATCACCTGATCTATTCTTGTGTCGAGATGGCGGGGATGGACTGCGTCCAACTTGAGGAAGAGATAGGGCATAAGGACTGTCACCGGTAGAAGGAGCATGCAGAACATTATCATTTGAACAATCGCCTTGAATATGTCCATGTTTTCCAGATGCTCGTTTGGCTACTGTAGACAATTGATCAGGTGTATCAGGTGAATTGATAACAACTGCAGTATTTGTTCCAGATGTTGGAAGACAAGAATCTAGAAAATAAGAAGGGATTTAATAAAATTCAGTCATTATGTTAGAGTTTAGTTTGTTAAGGCTAAGAGTGCTGATATGCACTACATGAAGAAACAAGATCGTTTTTAAACAGAGTCTGAATGATAGGCGGAATAGTCTAGTGAAGAGTAAATAGTGAACTAGATGATTCATATCTTAGCTTCTTCTACCTCTAGAAATGATTTGACCTTAGAATAATAACTGAAACTTGTTTTTTCCTTGCATATTTCACTAATTTCCCATCACTATTTCGTTGACGTAGGCTTTTGGAGTAAACACAAGAGTCAGACAAGGGTGCTTATTATCACCAATGATATTCCTATTTCTCGTGGACTGGATCATGCGTCAGACAGTGGGAAATGAGAAGACAGGGATATCCTGGACCGACATGAAGAATCTAGAAGTCCTGGATTTCGCGGATGATTTATGTTTGATATCACACAAAATCGAAGACTTACAAGCGAAAACCGACAAACTGGTCGAAGAAGCAGCAAAGACAGGACTCCAGGTGAACATAGACAAGACGGAGATTATGAAAATAACCAACCAACAACAACAACAGCAACATCCAGCGCCAATCACCATCAACAGAAGGGATTTGAAAGAGGTTACTTCATTCACTTATCTAGGGAGCATTGTCTCAACTACAGGAGGAACGGACAAGGATGTCAAATCGAGAATCGGGAAGGCGAGAAACACATTCATCAACCTGAAACCAATCTGGAAATCTTCGTCACTCAGCCTGCATCAACAACAAAATTCGGATTTTCAATACAAACGTCAAGTCAGTCAGTTCTTCTATACGGATCAGAAACTTGGTGGGTCACAAAGAATATTTCCAACAGCCTGTTGCAGACCTTTATCAACAACTGTCTTCGCGTTCTATATTCAAGATCAGATGGCTGGATAGAATCACCAACAAGAAACTATGGGAACAAACAAAACAAGAACTAATTGGCCAACAAATATGCAGGAGAAAGTGGATGGATTGGACACTCGCTGAGGAGGCCGCTGGGTGACATCGCGCGTCAGGGCAACGCTCGAGTGGAACCCGAAAGGGAAGCGTCGAGTGGGACGTCCAAGGGTGATATGGAGGAGATCGTGTGAAGAGGAGTTGAAACAGTATGGACTAACATGGATGCAGGTGAAAAGTACAGCAGAAGACAGAAGCAAGTGGAGACGTGTAGTTGAAGCCCTATGTTCCACTAGGAACTCAAGGGAATAATAATAAATAATAATAATTTCGTCGACGTATAGAGAGAGAAGTGAAAATAGACTAGGCACAGACCTGCTTCGCTGTAACCTCCTTGTTTATTGCTTATTTAAATAAATCACAAATGTATTGGAATTTTAGGAAAAGATTTCCTCAATAGAAGTTTTTTTTTTTTTAAAAAGAGGATACACCAAAGTTTGACGAGTATCTAATGATGAACAAGGTGAGTAGTTTCCTAATCCTTGCAAAAAATTTGATTCATGTAACCGAACAATTTACGAAGCTTTACACAATACTTATGACTTGATGGGTACAGTTTCATTAACAATCAAATAACCATATCTTTGTCTGTTTAACCATCATATTGTTATGATTCCCAGGGGTTCCTAGTGGAACACTTGGCTTCAGCAGAATGTGTCCATTCCTCTCTGTTCCCTACAGCCCTCTTCAGCTGGCTCTAAGATTGCCCATAAGCTCTGACCTCTTTTTCATATGGCTTCTAATTCACTCTCAGATACCCAACTCGTCATTTTCTATTCGAGGGCTGGCATGGTGCTCGACGTAACCAAATAGTCTCTTGCGTTTGTGTCCCATCCACCCTGATTTTCTTCGGGATATTTTTTGGGCAATAGGTTCATGGTTGGTTCGCTGGCCATCTGGTGGTCTTCAGTATCGAGCCAGCAATGGCAACTGTTGATAAAAGTCTGAAGCCTGATGGTAATGCTTTTCGTGACGCACTGTCCCTGAACCATATATAGAATCATCCACTTCACATCAGTGTTGAAAATTCGAATGTTGTTTGTTTTTAATGCTGAGGGTAGACAGGAGATTTCCACTCTGATTTCAGATTAATGAACATCTGCCTCGACTTTCTGATACACACTACCCTTGATATCCTCATCCATGAAGCTTGAAATGATACTGCCTATATAAGTGGACGAAGTGATTGCCTTCATAAATAACTCCCATTGATAATGATGTGTCTTATTGTTTATTACTGGGCTATCTTCATCACCTCTGTCTTCTCTATGTTCACTTGAAATCTTTTCTTCGTCACTTACTCTGAGAATTTGTTAGTTTTCATAGGTTTCACGCTTCACATTCATCTCTATCGCATTGAACACAGGCTAGCCAAATATGCTATAGCTGAATTCCTATACTTGGTAGTGTTAGCATATAATCTGTTGTACTGACTTCTAGTTCTACCAGATGAGATACAAGACGAGGAGAGTTGAGAATAGAGGGCGGGGGTGTTGAGGGTCATACAATATGGATTTATACCACTTCTTGCATGAGTTCAGTGACAAGCTGACTAATTAGCATACCACTTTCTCTACTGACAACCTTGAATACCCTTTACAAAATGACGTAGTCCTTTTTCAGTAGCCAGCTCAGGAAAGACTGAGGGGGAGCAGTAAAGTACAATAGGTAAGATACACGAGTTAACAAATTGTAAAAGCAGAGGTTGAGTGATTCCATATTTTTTTAAGCTTCTTAATGTAGTAGCCTAGACGGAGTATTTTCTTGGAAATCTATAATCATAATATTGACTACATTCTTATAAAGTACAATCAGTAGGGAAATTGAAGGCTAATCATACTTGTGTACACACGGGTTCTTCTTGATGAAAATAGCCTCAGATAACATCAATATTTTTTACATTTTATATCACTCTGGAGAATTTAAGCCTGTTTATTTTGTATCCAGTATCCGTTAAAGAACATGCAACTTCCTTATTTAGTGCATGTGAACCTTTTAGTCTTATATTGTTGAAGACATGCTCAGAAAAACGGACGAAAATCTTTATAGTTTTAGTCTGTATATGTTCATTGGTAAAAATCAGGTAGGAATTAGTTCACTTTGAATATCGGAAAGAACAAGTAATAGTGTTCATCAATGTGCATCTACCAATTCACCTGCTCGTGTGGAGCTAGGTATGTTGGCCGAAAGCAGCGTTTGCTATCCAAAGGTATCATCGAACACTTACCCTCATGGTTTCATAAAGGATAAAAAACGTCCCCCCCCCTCCCGAAGCTCTATTCTGGAACACTTGATCGAATCAGAACACCAAGCAAACCCCCAAAACAACTTCGAAGTTATCTACAGAATACATGGAAATCTTGGTAAAAGAGTACGAATCAAACTTCTTCAAAGAGAGCAGAAGCAATGCCGGCGATTCACATGTTAAATCCTCAACCCCACATACAAAAGATGCTTGTTCAGTCATTAAATCTACACTGGACCTGACCTATCTTACACATCAAATGTGTAATTTTTGTTTCGTCTTTTTTTGCTTGTTTGTTTCTTAACTGTATAATATTTTCTTCCCCCACTCATTATTACCACTGTTGTTAACTTGACTTTGTTTAATTTTAATTTTAGCTGAGCTCTACTCAACCCCGCCAATTAGATTATCTCACTCAAACTGCTTATTTAATTATACTTTAGTTTCAAACCCATTAATGATATTTATTATGTCGAATTTACAATTCTAAAGACTCATCCTTGGAAATATTCCCTCTACAATTGTACAGCTTGAGTGTGATGCTGCCGAAAAGAACAACTCTTTGCTGAATGCCTTTTCTTTCATATGACACAATGTAGATTGACAAAAGAGGTCAAAGGTTATAGTCAGTTAGTAATATAAAACAAATCCAAGCGGATAAGTAATAAATATGTTTTAAAAATTAGGAACAATTGACGGAAAATACCTATCCAGATATGAATATAAAAACAACAAAGTTCAGTGAAGAGTTGCTTTTCGGTGAATTCATTCACTTAACTGTAGAGTCGCATTTACATATTATTATTATTTTGTGTTTGTGTGTGTATGGAGACATCTTAGTAACATCTATTTCTTAACTAACCCTTCGTTTACCCTTTCTACCTATTACATAATTTCTTTTTGGACACGTATCTCCATTAACACCCTATTTCATATTACGCAACCCTGCTCAATATTTACCAATCTTCAAAACCCAATTAAATTTTGTTCAATTTTAATTTTAGCTGAGCTCTACTCAACCCCGTCAATTAGATTACGCTACTCAACTTGGTTATTTAATCTTACTTTAGTTTTTAACCCAATAACGATATTTATTATGTCAAATTTACAATTCTAATAATTTTATTTTAGTTTCCAGCCGATTACAACTCTCTGCATTATGTAACTTGTTATCTAAAATTTACAATACTAATGACAAATCTTAAAAAATATTCATTTCGTTGCTAAGGTAATTTATTATATATATATATATATATATATATATATATATACATGATTGTACAGCTTGAGAATGATATCGCCAAAAATAGTTACTCTTCGCTGAACGCCTTTTCTCTTATATCTACTTTTTCTCAACTTCATTAATAAAACAGACTTCGATTATCCTAAGTCGTCATTGAATGTTTTCTGTTTTGGATAACAGTGTCAAAACTCATTATTGCCTAGACTATTTACTGGTATCAGTTCTTAAAATTACCAATTCAAAGTGATACCTTTCACTTAGATGTGTAAGTAGACAGGGTTTTAGAAATTGTGATGAGCATTATTCCTTTGTATACTCGAAAGGATTATTTATTTATTCTTTCCTTCACGTTCCCCAGTGGAATATAGGGCTTCAAGCTAGTGGGTTGAAGTTTCTGTGGCAGTGTTTATTTTACAGGATGGGGTTGTTAGCCTGATGCCCAACCTTTCCTCTTTACCAGCATTATTTCCGGCTCAGCGAGGTAAAGGAGTGCGTCGGCCGGGGATCGAACCCCGGACCATGTGCATGGTCGACGAGCGTCCTAAACGCTATACCACCAACGCACACTCGAAAGGATACTCAACTAATTATTCTCAACTTAAATATCTATGGAAGAAGTACAGTAGTGAAACAGAAATAAGCAACTTATGTAACAACTATAATAGAAAAGAAAAAATAGTTTGAAAGACATAAACTTACTTAAAGGCACAGAATCACAGACGCTAACTCCTTCACCGCTGGCCACCTCAGAGGCTTCTGAAGAACATGAAGGAACTGGAGAAGAACCACCCCAAGTTGCTAAGGTTGTCCGATCTTGACTAGTTGCAACAGAGGCACCACTACAACTGACACGTTGCACTGGTTTCTGAGATCCTGAGTTTGTACCATTTGAAATATTTAACAATTCACGATCATGTAAATTTCGTTGCTCTTCTATTTTTATTCGTGCTTCACGCATATTAGCGTATAAACGCTCAGTGTTATCACTACAGTTTACTCCTGACTGCTGTAGATACAAATAAAAAAATATAATTGGGCTACGTCGGAACACTTGTATTAAACGTCCAGGTAAATTTCAATATCACTTCCAATAAAGTGTGGGTCGCGATAAATCACGAATTGGTCGAAGTTAGAATTCATGAGCTGGCCATTGATGAGTCGGGTCCCAGTGGCTGAATGGTATAGGAGCTTGCCTTGTAACTGGAATGTCCTGGGTTCGAACCCTGTCGGTGGGGTGGGTGCGTAATTCCGATGATTCTCAAACTAGGATGAAACAGCTGTCCAGTACTCCAGTGCTGGTTTCCAGTGGTTGTCTAACTGATATCAATTCGTGATCAACTCGAAAAAACCAACTAAGTCAATTTAATAATAAGAACAGTCACGTAAAGCACTGCTGTCTTTTTCAAAAACACAATAACTAAATATTTGAAAACTGTTGGAGTCACCGTGTCTTCATTTTCGTATTTCGTTTAACAGACAGGACATAGGTAAGGCTTTCAGATATATTAGAATACAACCATCCACAGTGAAACATACAACTAATGTGTATTAACCACATACTCCTCCTATAAGATGTAGAAAAGCAACATGAAAACATTGGAGAGAAAATCTGAGACTATGACTGCGCACGTAAAAGAACCCTATTTATTAAGTTACAATTTAATGGTGACTTGTCAAGTGAGATTTTATCCCAGAGACTTTCAAGGAGTATACGAAGAACATTTTATGCAGCACACCTATGTTTGTCATTCTCTAACCGAAGAATGATTGGGACGCAAACGAAGGATAAGCAAGATAGTTTTGCCACATCTATGTGCATTTATCAGTTCAACTGCACTTGGGGTGACAATTATGTTGAGTATACTACTACACAGCTTAGCCGACCTGTTGCTGAACATCTTCCATCATGGTTTGGCAAAGAACAGACAAAAACAATCCGCAGCTCCATTTTGTCACATCACATTTAGTTGATAGTGGTCATGTAGTAAAGAAAACGGAAACTTTCAAGGTAATTCATCGCATCTCAACGAATCTTTCGAATAGACTTCGCATTCGTCTACTGCACACAACTGAGGCGATAGGCATTCGAACTATTAAACCGAAACTATGCATTCAAAAGAAGTTCGTACAGCCATTAAGCCTCCCTTGTTGACCTATGAAGACCTAACTAACTGATGACTTTTCCATCAACCCTTACTAATATTTTCAATCTCTGTCCTACCATCCCTTAATATTATCACATTTTCATTAAAACATAGTTTATCTATTTGCCTTACAATAAAGCATTACTTAATCGGTTCATTTGTTTTTCTTAGCCTTTATCGACTACTACGTCTACCTGAACATTTATTTGTTTAATCATGAACAATTTATATGCACAATCTTATTATCCTATTGGCAAAACATCGTGACTGGTGGTATATATATTTGAATTTTTATTTGTAAAGTTATGTATATCAGAGTTAATTAAGCCTGATGAGATTTAATTGAAAGCACAATATTGTTCGCTTAAATGTGTTGTTTTAAATTTTACAATTAGGATTAACATCATGTATGTTTAAAATTCGATTCAATTTATGCCATGTCACAGAAAAATATGAACTGTTAAAAAGCCATAAAACTTTAGTTTCTTTAGCACCCACTATCTTTTCGCTTTTAGTTCAATGTTTTGACATTTTACTGACTATTCTAAGTTTCGTTTCCAATGGTATAATAAAATTATGACGACAGAAGAGATTTAAGACAGTTACAAAATTAAATTTTCCTTAGAAGTTAACTGGTGGATGGTGACTAGCAGTGGAATCCAGGATAACGCGCATTTCGTCCTATTTGGGACTCGTCCGCCAGCTGGATGTGCCTGCATTCCACAGTGAGTGATGATGTTCCCACCACCGAGGCTCGAACCCAGTGTCCATAGTTTTTCAAATGCTAAAGCATTATTCACTAGACCACACAGGCGACGAGAGCCACCTCCTGTGCAACGGGTCATACTAATTATTTAATTCAATTTTAGATTTTCCCTCGTGATTGATTGGACCGAAGTGCTCGGTCTGAGGTTGACATGTCGGCTTCTTGTACAGATGCTTCGACGATGTCTGGGTATGTAATTAGAAGTTAATTGGATTAAATTAAATTTTTCTTATTTAAAATTTTAGAGCACAGCTACAAGAATGAACTCGGAAGATATAACGAAAAAAAAGCAACACGTACCTGAAACGTCACAGAGTCAGTTTTCGTTGATATACCAGAGGAAACTGATAGATTTCGTGATGGTCCATTAAAATGAGTGGCACTTGTTGATTTATCAATGTCTTCTTTATAATTCGAGGAGGATCTTCCTTTAGGGGAACTGACTTCTTGTGATACAGACTGTAGACTAGAAATAACTTGATTATTATTATTATTCAGAGCGTCTTCGGACAAATTAGTCATTTCTGGTTCACAAAGACGGAAAACTGGTGCAAATGTAGCGATTTTCGCTTCAGCTTCACGAAGCAGTTCAAGTTGACCTTTTAATTGATTCAGTTCGCGTTTTTTAGCTTCCAAACTAGCAATCAGGTCAGGTGATATCCCAGTCGACGAGTTATCACTGTAAACATAGATTCGACAAATTACATAATTAATTAATAGCAACTGTACAATAATAAAAAAAACAGTAATAAGCAAAGTAAACTAATGATTTAAAGTAAATTGTAAGAGACACACACAATGAAGATAATGCAATATTATTGTTACCAGTCATTTTCATCCAATGGGACACTGATATGAGCCGATTCAATTGTATGGCCAGATGTTACGACATCATCAAGCGACGCCCTACTTGCAGCTGAACCAAAATTTAAAAAAAAATAGAGTTGAATTTAGTTATACAGCAGCTTATTACATTGGTTACACATTAAGTGAAACTAATTTTTAATATAGCGAAAATATTCATTCAGACATCTAAAAAACACAAAATAATCGAGCAAAGAATATTCTTTTTGATAAATTCCTCTTCCGAACATCACCCTGCCTGGTTAAGCAAAGGACAAACGAAATCTATTCGCAGCGCTATTCTATCTCATCTTGTGGATACAGAATACAAGATTGACATTAACCATGCTTTCAGGGTCATTTGCCGCATACATACGAATCTCAAGTTTGCTTTAAGAGTTCGACTACTAAATATTGCTGAGGCTGTGGGGATCCACATTAACAAGCCTAATTTATGCATCCAAAAGAATCTAGTTCAGACATTATCATCACCTTGGCCATCCAGGTTTGAATAATCCAGAATTTTTGTGAAATTTCCCTAATGTTAGTTGATATTCTATCCGCTATTATATCTTTATTATTATTATTATTATTATTATTATTATTATTATTATTATTATAATTTAAGCATCTTTAATGAACTGTAATTCCATTTATCTTGCTTAACAAATCAATATTATTTAAAAAACATACCAATACTGTTATTTTGCATGGAGGATTTCATCATGAGCTGACATCAGTTAGAGAACCACTGGAAAACCTGGGAGTACTGGACAGATGTTTCGTCCTAGTTTGAGACTCTTCATCAGTACGCACCCACCGGGATTCGAACCCAGGGCCTTCTGGTTACAAGGCGAGCTCGTAGACCATTGAGCAACTGGGACCCGATCCAATGGCACATGAATTCTAACTTCTGCCAATTCACGACATAGCGCGACTATTTCGCAATGTCTTCTTCGATGAAATCCTTCATGCAATCAAACAAAATCCCTACAAAACCAATAATTAAAAATATTGTAATTGACTACTATCCTAGAATATTCTACGTACAAATATACACATAAATAATTGTAGAGCCAGAAGAGGAATTTATCGAAAAGAATATTCTTTGCTCGATTATTTTGTATTTTATAAACTAATTTTTCCCAAGGAATTCGATTAATTGCTATTACATACATTACAACTGAAAAAATTACCTGCTTTAAGAGAGGCTAAGCGTCCGGCTAATTCATCTCGCTGTTGCAGTAGCCTAGCAACCTCCTCTTTTTCTTGAGCTGTCCGCTGTTGTAATGCTGTAAGATACGCTTTCTGAGTAACAAATGCAGAATCGATATCTCCACACGGTTCATCATTTTGTCTGCTTGTACCTGTGAAACAAAGCAAAGAGTCTTGAATACAACCAATTCATCACTAATGTAATAAAAGACACTAATGCAAAACGCGTATGGTGAAATTCAAAGAAAGCACCAGTATCCAATAGTTTGAAATCAGGTAAATGGCTTACTTAGTTCTGCACTGCCATTAGTTGTAGAAGCTTTATCTGCATTCACAGGTAAGTCATCCTCTTCATCACTATTAGCCAATTCATGTAGTGTACCATTCGCCTATCAAGAAACAGTGGAGAGTGGAGATGAGTCATCAAAATATTTGCAATAAAAAAACAATACAAAGTTTATTGAGTTATAACTTCACCAACATGATTTCAAACGGTAAGATTATTCAATTGTAAGAAAAGCAGTGCAGTTGAAGGATGTATCAAAGGAGTAACAAAGTTCTCTGCATTAGAAAGGCAAAGAACAACGGTATTAATAATAACGTTGTTGATTTGCAGCATTGGGAAAATATACATTTAAAAGAATAAAACGTATCAGTAGTCAGATATACAAAATTCAAAAGTAACAGTTTTTTGACACTTAATATAAGTGTTAATGAAAACAAAACACGTAGATCAGCGAAGAGTCTCTTTTCGGCGGCGAATTCATTTTCTTACCTGTACAATCGCAAATATGTATGTGTTATTTTGTATGTATGTGTACATTAAGTTTGTCAAACAAAATACCATTGGTTATAGTTATTTTAACTAAACAGGTGAGAATTAGTAAGTTTTATGTAGGGTTACATGATGCAAAGACGGTCAAGAAAACTCTTTGACGCGCACCCTGTCCAAGAGAATTCAAGAACACTATCCATCATGGTTGCGAAAAGGCAACAGTGGTACGCTAGGGAGTGCGGTAATTGAACATTGAATTGTTTGACACTGATCATTCCATCTCAACAAACGCCTCCTGCTTCAAAGTAATCTACAGAGTCAAATAACGCCATCTCTGGGGCCGATGTGATGTTTGTCTACCGATCAAAGAAAGTGTGTATTGCTCAGGACTTCGCTCCGTTCTCCTTTATGGCTGTGAGACATGACCTGTCTTTGATCGTAGGTGCCTGCATTCTAACTCCCGTGCTAGATGGTAAATAGGGTGAGAGACATTGAGGTTGGCCGTTGAGTGTTAGGTAAGGAGGGAAAATTAACTGGCGAGTTTGTGAAGTCACATTGATTGAGATGGCTAGGGCATGTGTTACGCATGCCTAGCCTAGCCATCTCCTTCCTAGATGGGCGATGTTAGCTCACGTGCGATGGATACGGTTGGAGGAGAGCTAGTGGTGATCAAAACCAAAACATGTCTTCATCAGTCAATGAAGTCCACAACAGTTATTTTAAGCCAGTCAGCCATACCGGGAGGTGTAGACTGCTGTCTGGTTGGGGTCCTCAGGATGCTAAAAACCAATGTGGGTTGGAGATAATTGGTGATATGGCTCTAAATCGTTCTCAATGACTGGCGCAGATGCATTCACTCTTTGGGATTGGTTATATCTAATGAAACTCTACTGTTCTTCCATATTACTCTTCCCTTTCCCTCACACTGCTGTTTATTATCTCACTTCTGAATCTCTGTTCTCTTGCTTTGTGTGTTACATGGAGGGAGTGTGTGCAACTCGAACTGCTGAACGTCTGTGCAAAGTTCTACGTTGAAACCAGTCAGTCGGTTACAATACTGTTAAGGAAAACGGTTGAACTGACGAAATTTCACTGCAATAATATTTAATGGGTGTACAAAAGATTTAGAAAAGGTATAATATAGGCCCTGAAATGGTCACACTAAAGTGGGAATATACAAAATTAAAAAAACTAAACCTCACCAGTTGTTCTTCGATGGTGGTTTTGACCAGACGATGAATTGTATAGAAACATTCTTTGGTCGAATCGAAATTGCGACTTAAGCTGCTCAAAAATTCACGAAAGCTCGACATCTACAGATAAGAGAAGGATACATGATTAATTCATGAAATGATGATGCATATTTCTAGCCAATATAGAAACACTATCGTGACATTTCAAACGAATAACAATTTAAATTACCAAACTTGTTAGAAGTACCCACGAAGAAATAAACAAGAGAATAGATAATGAAAGATATGTACACGAACAGCTATTTAAAAATCTTGATAAGAGAGAGGAAATACATGAGCGTCACTGTGAACTATGCCCAATCACATCGACCTTTCCACCCTTAACATGCTGAAGACTCTATAGATCAGAAACCAACAATCAGAGACTGTAAATACGAGTTGATCACGAATTGACATCAGTAAGAGAACCATTGGAAAACCAGGGAGTACTGGACAGCTGCTGTTTCATCCTAGTTTGGGAATCATAAGAAGTACCCACCCACCACTAGGATTCGAACCCAGGACCTTCCGGTTACAAGGCAAGCTCGTATACCATTCAGTCACTGGGACCCGATTCAATGGCTCATGAATTCTAACTTCTACCAATTCGTGATATAGCGCGACCCCAACCATTGTCGTTGGTGGGACATCCATCCACACACGTGACATCTAATTGGACCTCACTGGTTACGACTTCTCACTAGAACTAGGATGAAGCGGCAGCTGTCCAGTACTCTCTGGTTTTCAATGGTTCTCTTACTGATATCAATCCGTGATCAACTCGTAAAAACATAACTAACCCTTACAAACCAAACTATAGAGACTGTGAATACCGAACTCTTTTCAAAAACATTTACAGCCCTGTGGGTTCAGGTAAACAGCCTCGAGTAGTACGATATATTTCCTTACTTCAGACACCTACAATGCTTCTCGAGTTACGCTGAATGTAACCCTTGAATGATCATGGAGAACTTTGGTTAACCTCTTTTAATCTACTTTATTCTGATGTTATTATTACAGGGAGATTTTCTCTGTTATTGAGTGAAATAATCTAGGTCAATATCACAGGATTACCTTTGATTTCCAAAGTCATGAGTAACTTTCATTATTATGACTGGTGGCTCTTGACCATCATTGTTAATAATATCTGAAGACAAATCGACATGTCCTTATACTTACTCCCATCCATGTTAGGTTCGAAATAGTATTCCCAACTTCCGTGAGAGACCAGGAACACAAATTTAGGCTAGGCTTATATGTTGAATACATGAAATATAGTCCTAAGCTAATTGAACTGGTTTTCAGTATTCTTACTAGTGATTTAGATACTACTAAACACGAGTACACTCTCATCACAGTGAACAGCTGCTTCATAGTGACTTTAGTACACTTGAAAAAGTGCAACCTGTTCTCTAACGCCAATGGTTTTTTTTTGTTGTAGTTTTGACGACCACTCTTCAACATACTGAGGAATTTAAATCATCTCATGCTGGACAGAATTTCGCTTCTGAACATTAATGAAGTCGGTATATGTAGTTCCTCTGCCGACAAATCAATTTAAATGAGGGTTCATAGATCTACTAGCTTCCACAAATCGTCCTTCAGAGGTTAGTGACTGTTCTTACTCTTGTTTTACTACATCTTACCATACGACACTGAATAAAAGACGTCAGAAAGTGACACTTATCATCGCCAGTCCCCTGGCGTGTGATTCTCAACGCACCACCTAACATTCTGATTATTTTAACCACCTTTACAATATAACTGCCCCAACGTTCTACTTATCGTACAAGTTACAAGCTGAAGAATTAGCAAACTGATGCTTTTCATAGGGCAAATCGTAATACTGGAAATGGACATAAAGTGATACACTCTAGTTTCGTGTCCAATAGAAAATAGCAAAAGACTTGTAAATAATACAAGATTTTTATAACCAATTAGTGTGTGTTTGCTAACAAAATTTATGAAACTATCCTAACATAGACTTCTGAAAGCAAACATCACCTGTAAAATCTGATATTATATATTAATTACCTGGATATCGCGTAATTCAGAAGATAGCTGTGTTTCATTTCGAAGCGACTGAAAGGTAAATAAAATGCTTACAGATTATCCCTTTGCATATAATACGAATTAGAGAAGTAATATTAAGATTTTTGATGATACTATACTATTATATCTAATAATTTAGTGTTAATCACATACAACAAATTTCCACGCTACGCCAAGTTTAGCTCACAACAAATTTGGGACTTTTCAGAAGAAAACTGGTATTTGTTAATATAGCGAACTTGTCACTGAAATATGGAAGGAGAGTGTATAAACCTGTTCTCAACGCCAACTGCAAAACACTTCAAGCCACCATATATGGGTCATCATTGCAGCTTGATAACTAGACAAAGAATGAACGCTGCTGTTAAAAAGACTTTTCATGCAGCTTATATCATAATAATTGAGAATGTGAAGTCAATAAATCTAGCTAAGCCCTTCGAACATGCGAAAAATGACGTCACATCCCACTGTATTCACCTATTTGAATGTACGTGTGGACACACATACATAGGAAGGACTCATCCATCTCTGCCAGCAAGTAAGGGCTGGCTTCAGAGCATATTCCTAAATGGCTCCAGAAACAAATGGAATCTTCAGGACCCATTAATGGTGAGAACAGGAGACCTAGCTCCTCTATTGAGAAACATATTATAGAGACAGGACATAAAATTGACGTTAACAGATCTTTTAAACCTATCTACAGAATGTGTTTGGGGCGTATCCTAAAGTTTGTGGAAGCCCTACCTGGCAATTAGAAAGTTTAAACCACCTCTATGCGTTCAAAGCAACAATTTATCATCACACTAAACACCTTCCTTGGTAAATTTTGTCTTGATACCATAGCAGATGTACTATTACCTCCGTTATTTGGTTTAGTGGTCTTCATTCTTTTTTTACCTTCAGTGTGTCCTTTCAACTTGACCTAAGTACTCTTTCTCACCTCTTAACTCGATGAGTCCTCTCTATGTATTTGTGTCCACACGTACATTCAAATAGGTAAATACAGTGGGATGTGACATCATTCTTCACATTTTCAAGGGGCTTAGATAAATATATTGGCTTCACATTCTCAATTATTATGATATTAGCTGCATAAAATGCGTTTTTAACAGCAGGGCTCAATCTTTGTCTAGTTATCAAGCTGCTATGATGCCCCATACAGGGTAGCTTGATGTACACGTCTTTCTTATGGGCGAGTTGGAGAGTGGATCTTGTTGTTCTGACTACTTTATATCTCCTTATGAACACTTGTCTGGATAACTGTTATCAACTACAGTTTGTGTCAACTTTCTTTCTTCTTCCTCATCAAGTGTGTCTTTAGTGCATAATCGTTGGATTCTACTGAATAGTCACCTCATTCCCTAAGGCTTTTTTGTACCGAACAGGGCAGAAACTATGGTAATTAAGATACTGTCCTGTCCAGGTAGGTTTTCTATAAATAGATCTTTTTATTGATTCATCAAACCGTCAGTCGATTAAGCAATATGCCTAGGAAAGATAAACAATTATCTTCCTCTTCTACAGATGTAAGCTGGTATTATTATTATTATTATTATTACTAGTAGTAGTAGTGTGATTCCAAACCTGAATTTTTTCATGTAAAAAGAAAACAGAAAGTAGAATCAAAGTATCAAGGCTAACAATCATTCTAAATAAAATGTCACTTACATCATAGCTTTCTTTCAAGGAATTAAAACTCATCTGAAGTTCAGTAAATCTCTTCGAAATATCCAAAAGTAATTTTGTTGATTCATTGAAATGCTGATGAAGAGAATATATAATCAATGAAAGAAGAAGAAAAAACATTTAAATGTCTGTTAATAGTAACATAATCATCATCTTAAAACGAGGAAAATATGCCCTACTTAATAGAAATGTATAGCTATGATAGTAGTCAATACATCTGAAGAGAAAAAACTATTACCCTGAACAGGATGTTTACAATAAAAGCAATAACATATTAAGAAACTAGTTTAAATAAAGAGATAAGCCTAATGTCCTTGTATTTATGTTACTAGAAGTTGTTTTAAATGCCTTTAGGAAATTAAGTACAAAAACTACACTAAAAAAACCCTTTTGCACCAAAACGATCTATAACTGAAATAAACAATACTAGACACATCACACTAGTTACTAGTGTCCAATCGAAGCAGCCACTACAGGAGATCAATCGCGAGCCCGAATAGCTCAATGGTAACGTCTCTGACAGCAGCGCTCATTGGGTGACGCGGGTTCGAATCTCCTCAGAAGGGACATGAGTTCCTTCAAAGCAGTTGCAGATACGCCTTGCTGACTGGTTCGTGGCAATTAGCACGAAACCTAGGTCAGGCAAGGCTTCCTGTGGCCGATTGCCTCCAACCATCTAATATTATCAAATCAATGTGCACCGTGATGGCAAGCTACCTAGATTGGTGGCCACATTGCAAAGTTGACTGATAGAATTTAGTTTGCACCAAAATAAGGAATAGACACATCACACTAGTTATTAGTGTCCAATCGAAATACTATACTTACATATAGCTTGTGCAGTCATATTGAGGCACTTTCAATGAGTGGAAAAAGCAAACCACTGGCTAACAAAGAAACAATTGGGAAGTCTAACTGAATACTAGAAAAGATCAACAGTTAGTCTAGCTGAAATGAACTTATAAGATAAGAAAACTTGAAGAAAACTACATTAACTTTACACTCCACACGAGACGTAGAACGCACCAAATTCATAGTGAATACCTTGAGTTTAGACACCTTCACTAATGTTAATTAATCGACCCTGGGACACCTTCAATAAACAAATCTTAGCTACATAAAATGATTGGATTTGGAAATTACGGACTGGGATAAAAATTATTTTTGTCAAGAAAAGCCTATCCCAGGATAGCACATTTCCTTGAGTCTAATATACAAACATTAATTCATCTAACTATACAATATATAAAGCATTAAAGGGATTTTCAAATGTACCTTACTTTTTGAATACTATATAACTTTAGCTTCACAGTACACGCAGAACTTACCGCTTTTTTCGTTATCACCACAAGTCGTTTTACCATTCCATTAAATTTTTCTGAATCTTCAATTAATCCTTGGAGTTCTGATAATTGTGCCTAAATAATACATAATAAGAAAAAGAAGAATACAAACAAAATTGTTATGTTTCAAAAATAAAAGACTGACCTACAGACAGATAGAATTATATATATTTTTTTATTCCTTCACGTTCCCAGTGGAACACAGGGCTTCAAGCTAGAGGCTTGAATTTTCTGTAGCAGTGTTTATTTTTACAGGATGGGGTTGCTAGCCTCATGCCTAACCTTTCCTCTTTACCAGCTTCATTCCTGGCTTAGTGAGGTAAAGGAGTGCGTCGGCCGGGGATCGAACCCCGGACCATGTGCATGGTCGGCAAACGTCCTAACCGCTATGCCACCGACGCAGAATTATATATACACTAGTAGAAATATCACTTTCTTTGAAAATGCACTCACCTCATACTGGTCCGTCGAGTCATCACGTTCCAAAACTTCTGATGGATTAGTATTCAAAAGATCACAAATTTCAAGAGTCGGTGGATTATCATTACTTTGGACAGTAGATTCCAGTTGCTGTTTGGATTCTGGATTGTGCAAAGAGTCATTGTTATCAGGAGTACATTGGCTATCCTCTTGGGAGGTTTTGGGCTTATCATGGGATAATAAGGTTTCAAACTTTGAAATCATTGCTGATGCAGAATCTTGAAATGCTACATTAGTTGGCGTTGCAGCAGCATTACAAGAGCCGCTAGCCTCCATAGTCGAACAATTGGATTCCTAAACAAAATGTAATAACAGTTCTACTGATTCAAAATAGATACAAAAGCTTTTAATGTGATTTTAAGAGGTTTCGTTATCCCTACTATTTTATGTGGATGTATAAGAGTGATTACTGCGTATCACTTTTGCATATTTAAGACTGTGGCGTGTGGTATGCAGATACAAACTTATAGAAAGTGGCAAAAAATTGAAATCAACATTTTAAGACAATGACTACAAGGGCAGAAGTGTTTATTCTTCAAACACAGAATCAGTTTGCATTGTGGTCTGGGAACAGTCTTATTGGACAGCTCTTTGTCCTTTTGATTAGCTTTGGGTCAATCGATAACCAATCAGAACCGCCCATTGCCCACTGACCTAGCCGATTTTTAATGTGGTTAAAAATGTATCAATATTGATGCCTTCCTCCTTAATAAAAAAGTCCCTTACCACTTCTCTAGTCTTCTCCTATTACAAGACAATATACTCAAGCTGTAGCTCCCTGGTATAAACTATTGAGCCAAATGTTAACTTCATAATTCCTTGTATGAGCTATTTTCACACTATGGCGTAACTTACACAAAAAGTTAAAGACGTAAAACATAAAAGAAGGGAGTGTGGCAGGTGCCTATTTAGATAGATTGTGTTTCAATTACGCCTTTGTAGATTTGCATACCTCACATCACGTGTTTCGATTGTTTTAAAAATGACTGAATTCCATTGTATGTATTAAAGATAACTTTTGAAGCACGTTACTACTTTATGTACAGCCATTATATGCAGACATAACTTAAATGTAATGTATTGCTTACTTAGTTTTTATATCAAACTGCTGTGATGAATTCTAAACGAACAGCTATACTTATTAGTAACTAGGCCTTTATTAATTAAGTTCAGTGGAGTCTGCAAAAATAATCTTTCACATTACACTGTAAAATTCATTTCAGTATTCCTCACTGAATCTTAAGTAAGTTAACCTCTTTTTCTGTTCTTTGCGTTCTAATTGGAACATAGGGCTTCAAGCTCCAAAGTTCCAGTGCCAGTGTTGTTTCTAGGGGGCAGGGTTGCTAGCCGTACATCCAACTTCCCGTCTTTTCTGGGCTTACTGACTGACCGGTTTCAACATAGAACTTTGCACAGAGATGCAGCATTTCGAGTTGCCTCGCTCCCTCCATGTAACACACAAAACAAGAGAAGAGAGTAAACAGAGAGTCAAAAGAGAGATAATAAACAGTAGTGTGGGGGAAAAGGAAGAGTAATATGGAAGAACAGTAGTTTCATTAGATATGACAAATCACAAAGAGTGAATGCATCTGTGGCAGCCAATGAGAACGATTTTGGGCCATATCACCAGTTGTCTCCAGCCCACATTGGTTCTTACAATCGCGAGGATCCCAACCACACAGGAGTCTACACCCCCCTCCGTAGTTGGCTGGCTAAAACTCACTGTTGTGGATTTCATCGACTGGTAAAGTCGTGTTACGGTCTGACCACCACTAGCTCCTTCCCAACTTGCTCTTATGTCAGTTATAATTATCCGTCGAGGGCTTACTACCGGCTAGGAGAGGGTTTACGAGTGAGTCGGTTGAGAATCGAATCCCAACCTCCCACATAGCTGGTGAGCATTCTACAATTACATTACTTTTGAATACCATACTGAAAACTAGAACAGTGAATACCTGAAGATTAGACTCTTGGTGTTCAGTCTAGATAGAGATAAATAGTTCTTGAATCATCAATTTGCACCTCCTAGTTGCAATGAAAACTGCATCGGCCTCTTAGATTTTGAAGTAGGATGTAAAACAAGTAGTATATCATAGAAATATTACTTCACAACAGTTAATGCGAGCAAAATACAGAAATTACGCCTACAGAGATACTAGCCCTTCGCCAGATAACATGAAAAACGATTTAAGACCTACAGTCTTCCCACCTCAAAATGGCCGTATGGATGACCATTACTTTTCTTCAGAGAGTGGACCTCTGGACTTTGAATAATCAACTTCCAAAACATTAGCTTTCGAACTAGTTTGAACTGCTAGCGCCTAAGAATATGTAGCTTGCGGTGTTCTTATTGATTAAATTTCAAACCTAAGACAACAGTCTGCTTCAGTTAGATGTCCATGCAGTATTTTAAACAAAATATAAAATGTTCATTAAATGACTTCACGTCCTCTTGAACAATTGTGTTGTGTTCTACAAACTGTGCACACAAAAGTCAATATGCTGATGTTGTTGTTATTGTAACATGAACCGGTTTGTTATTATTTATGTTACCTTTACACTTTTCATCTTACCAAACTATGGGTGACTTTTGAAAATTCCTAGTTTATCTGCAGTCCTTTGCAACGAATCTGCGCTGCTTAGCGTGTGTGAACATTTCGTTTTACTAAAACAAATTCAGCCGTAATTCATTAGTTTGAGGGGATTCAGGGATGCCAACTGAATGTTAGTAGAAATGCAAAACAGGAATTATTTATTTATTTTTTATTTTATTTTCGGTTACAGCTTGATGACACACCGTATTTTCAGTACAAGTATGGAATTTTCAGCATGGATATCGGTAGCCCAAATTTTACAGGCCGACCATAGATATCGGGTGTGCGTCGGCAGGGAATCGAACCTCGGACCATGTGCATGGTCGGCGAGAGTTCTAACCACTGTGCCACGACGCACAGTGACGATATTGTATACATGACTGACGGATTTCGACCAACAAAAGACTAAACTTCGTGAGGTAATCACCACAATAAACAAAAGACCGAATAAACAGCCGGCAGCCTTTTTGGAGATTTTACCTACCACCGCAGCAATATAGTAAGCACGTACATAAAACAAAATATTACAAAAATCAAAAGCAAGCGTGAAAGAAAATTGCATCCGATTGCACAGGTGTAGTAAGTGGAATCACAGAAAACCCTTGGTTGAATCAATTATATCTTTCTTATACGGCATTATTTGATGGGTTATAAAGTAAAAGTGGCTTAAAATCCTAAACGATTTTTCATGTTGCTTCAACAAGGAGTATCGGTCCTTAAGAGCAAGTCAATTCCGGAAAACTGCGACATCACGCCCTTGCATCATCCATGGTAGATTCGCCTCAAGATATCAATAATTCCCGTAAACCTGCAGATTGATTTCAATTAAGAAAAGTTTATGAGAAGGAGGGTGCCGACGTCAATATTATGCTTAAGCACAACCACTTATCTCTTGTGTTAGGATATTTTAAAAATGACTAGTTTTGCTGAGTAGTTGAAACTTGCCAAGTGTGTTAAGTGGAAATAAGAAAACAATATTACAATCTAACTAAGACAGATGAATAGTAACGAGATTACGTATGAAAACTGATATACTTTGACTATCCAGAAGCTCGTGAAGCCATATAGGAAGTATGGAAGTATTAGTCACTGCAATCCTTTTAGAATAACTGCCAAAAAATTCAAAGATGAAAACAACCACTAAAAATAATTGCTAATCTGATATCTCCCTCCCAGATATCGTATGGCGTTAGTTGTCGATCTGTCTCTCTGTTTATCAGTAGTCAGGAGAAGCTTCCTATCAAATTTTGACCGAAAAGGGAAGATTATTTTATTCCATTTTGATGAATGGGTTTGAATTAAAGCAGAAACGTAACAAGAATACTGTTATAGATTTGGAAGATACAAACATGATGGGTAGTCCTGGAAGTGCTATTACTTCCTGAGATTTTTATCACTAAACAATTACTGCTATCTTAAGCGTAAAGAAGTAATTTTCTATCAATGGGATTATTTGACAGCGTCACGATAACATTTATGCAATACTACAAAACACTGCCGGTATGCCTACTGGATTGTTGTCTAATTGAGCCTCACTATTATTCACCAGCGTAGAGGAGGACAAACTGGTTGATGTTCATTTTCTTTATTTTAAATCGCAGGTCTGGGTTCGAGACTCACTTTATGAACTCTGCCACCGAACCCTAAGCAATATTAGTCTCACAATATACGGAACGCAAATGGATACTATAATTTAGCTTGAAAACTATGAGGCATTACTACATTCCCCAGTTCGAAATTTGCCTCCATGTGACTTTACGTATACGTGGGCGAAATCAGTTGATAAGCCTACAATATTTAGGTATACCTGAATATCTCTTGCCAATTGGTCAAGAAGATATTTGATTCTATCTTGTTGTTGTTTAAGTGCTCGCAACTTTAACTTTGCATCTTTACCCTATATTAATAAATATTATACTTAAACGCAACAAACCTCATTTTTCTTCCTTTGAAACTGATAGTCTTCCAGTCTTTTAATTAGATCTTCGAAACGAGCAATGAAAACATCATTTTTCTGAACAAATAACTTTAATTCGCAAATACCTTTGTGGCTGGAAGTGAACGAAGAACATTCAACATCAACTTTCCTTCAGCAATACTTGATTGTACTTCTTCCAGTCGACATACATATCCATTAGCATTATCGGTCATTTTTTTGTCTGTAGTTAAAGACTAAGAGAGCTAGAAACTTCAAAGAGTTATATCTTTAACCTGTAAGCAAGAAATATGAAATTATTATTGGTCAAAACAAAAACACGTGTATCAAACCAATGAAAGTAAAATAATATTACAGGTTAAAAAGAAGCATATTGTTGCACATGAGCTTGAAGACAATAACACCGCCATGTGCAGGGGGATTGCACCACCCTAGTGTCTGCACACGGTCTGAAAATATGACTTCAACATGAATATAAGCAGACACCAATTCGTGATCACGTAGGAAAAAATTAGTTGGAACTATGTAACTGTAGGGACTCTACAGATATGGGACTGGAAATCGTTGACGCGGGATCCATAAACACAATAACCGATAGATTCTTCGAAAATATCCACTATTTGGAAAAATAAAGTGGATCACTATGATTCACTAGTACTAGTGTATTATATAAAATAATTACGTCTTGACTATTGTATCAGGAATTATAATCAACAATGGCACTTGACCATATACGAGGGTACCCTAAGATTTAAAAAATGTTCTCGAGGAATACCAAAGTAACATTGACATTTTAAGCGGAAATTACACGGGAAACAATGAAACTTGAGATGAACGAAGTATACTCATTTACAAGCTTTGTGTTCGATCCTTGACAAACATAGCAATAATAGCATAATTCGTTTGTCTAAGCAAAACCTAATATTTTGGCACGAATCGTTAATAATGAGTACGCAGCTGGGTTTTAACTGTTGTCCTGTTAACTTATAGCGCACAATAATCGAAGCCTTTCAAATATAACACAGGCTGAATTACAGTTACATCAGAGCAAACAGCTTATTACCGCACTGGGAACACGGAAATCAATTCAGCAGTACCTGTATGGCATATTCCCCTGTATATGAAGAAACATAGGTGAACGCTAGATATAATAAACTTCCCATTGCCCGATTGACGCCTGCTGTTTAAACATGGTGATTAGGCTTGCCTATCGCAATGACCCAATGAGCTGCACTGGCTAAAACGAATGTTTCTGCAGGTCATGTCATCTCATAGAGGTCGTCTGGGTAGCTATCCGACCTAGGTTACCACTACAGTGTAAGTTGCTTACAATATTTTGACGATCTGAGAACGGTTATAGTGCTACCGAGTGGAGGTGCGACAGCGGTAAGGTGTTCCTGCCAGACCAGCAAGCCATCTATGCTGCCTTTCTGCTCTGACTTAGGGTGACTTGTAAGTTCTTTGTAAGGACACAATTATAAAACTCACTTTGAACAAGATGAGACTGGTCTCAAACAGTTGTCTCCCGGGTTCTGTAACACTAATGATTTTTTCTGATTCAAGTATTTCAACAAATCGACTCCACGAAGTGGACGACAGGCAAATAATAACTGCCTACATATAAGTGAAGCTTTCCTAGTCTTCTGTTTTCATCTTCTTAGTCTCCTGTCACTGTTAATAATATTCCACGGGTAAATTCAGTACCTCTTAGCTCAACAACCACAGTGTTCATTGACCTCCATAAGACATTTAAATGTCTCATTTAGGAGTATTGAGAAATGTCCCAGATATTAGTAGACGTTTACACAAGAACAGTTTAAACAACACTAGTGTGATAAGTTAAAGAAAAAGAGGAAGGACAGAGTACCGTTTGCATGGAAACAGATTAGTTGAACCACTCACAGCCGTTTATGTCCTCATGTTTCTGCTTAATATGTATGAACTAACTACATTGCAACTCACAGTTGATGTGGTCTAAAAGGCTATTATTGATAATGAATGTAGATTAAGGTCCAAAATGATTCACATATAATGAATGCTGAAAATTGGTGATCAGTACTAGTAGTTAGCAGCGATCAATACCTCTGGCATCATTATTGGACAAATGTATAATCAATGCCTGATGTTAAGTAAAATCAGGCTACAGATATTGGTTACAAGATGCAGACAGTGTTTCACTCTGATACGACTGTAGCTAGATGCATTTGCAACCGATGCTTTTAAAAATTTAAAATTTTTTAAAATTTTGATTACATCTTGATGCCACACGGTATTTTCAGTACAAGTATGGAATTTTCAGCATGGATATCGGTAGTCCAAATTTTGCAGGCCGACTTCTGTGAGGACATGTTTGATGTACTATACTTTATCAGCGTGTGAATCCAAAATGTATGCTTAGCTATAGCAACAAAACAAGAATAAGGAATTCCTTCAGTGGATAATTAACAATGTGTAAATATGACATTCTCCCCAATCGCATGTAACGCATTTGCTTGATTCCTGTAATCATTCCAAGTCGGAGAATTTCTTTTAACCTGGGATATGTGAGTGAAAGCGTGGGCAGTTTTCAGTTCGCAACTGGGCAAAGTCGGAAAAAGTGGGCTGTTTTCAGTTGTAACAAGGGTAAACTGGGAAAAAGTGTTCGCTGAAAAAGTGGGACAATAAAAATTTTCGGGATGTGGGCAAATGGGGAAAAAGTGACAAATATGGGTAAAGTGGGTTGATTTTGTAGCATTTTAACCTCCTTTTGGCCACGCTTTTGCCGATCAAAATTACCCGTTTAACCTACGTTTTGCCCACACTGCCCAGGTGCATTGTCTGACTGGGTTGTAGAAAACAGTGCTGTACTGATGTATCTTGTCAAAGAAAAACTGCCCCTACTGCTGACACTTGAAACTACAATCTTAGAGCTATTGGTGGACAGAATTTCCTAGTAGAAATACTATAGTATAGTAGTGTAGTATTTCTGGCACAGTTTCAAGGTCACTTTTGACTTTGAGTATGGAACACTACCACTCGCATGGAATAGAGAATCATGCTGTTAGCAAGTGAACTAAATCAATAAACTCGTGTAATGCACTAGTAATGTTGTTCAGTGACAGGTGTTTTCAATTCACAGCAGAAAGTCAATTTATTAACCTTAACCTACCAAACATGGTAACTAATCACTCACTTTTTAAACTAAGCGCTAGATGTGAATCTAAATTTCCAATATCCAATATCATTTTTACGAGCTAGTATAAACCAATTTGATTTTTTGTGCTCGCTTCTTGATTCTGAAGTAAGGGTTCTTGATCTTCGGTAAACTTCTGCATTCTCCGTCCCGCCACTCGACTCTGGTAGCTTTGGTTGACTCCCAAAAGGAGTGTTACCGGATTAATTATATGTTGTTTGTACTATGTGGTGTGTTAAGACTGTGATGCTACTGTCAGTGGGGTTGATTTTTTTCACCAGTTATTCCTCCGATATCGTCGTCGAAAGAAAAGAGATAATTATAATAATAGATATGATTAGACTAAAAGACAGAAAAAGAAATAAAGAAAAAGTAAAAACAGACAGTCAATTAAATTTGAAGTTGATATATATACATATGTAGTATATAATGTCAACATTAATTATCACTTTAATTATAAAAAGTGTAATTGTAGTAGTTGGAGCAGACAGGAGAGAATGTAAAGAAGTAAAACGATGAATTTAGACGTATACCCACGAACAGTGTTTGGGATTTTAAGGGGACAGGGCATTTGGATGCAGCCTTGGGTCACTGCATGACTGTCCAGCCCTCGCTTAAAGTTATCCACAGATGGTGGCGTAACTACATCTGCCGGTAAGGAGTTACAAACTCGCAGTGAACAGAAATGGGGGCACACTCAAGCCTTTGCCCTCTGATGAGCTATCTTTCGGGGATTTCCACGAGGAAGCCTTTACCTACCCAAAAGCAGAACACCTTCGTTTTGGTGGTTCTGGCTATTTTTTATCTTATGGGCAGTAATCAAGTCCCCCAAAGCCAACGGTAGCCAAGTGTGTATGGGCCTAATTCCCTTAGCCTTTTGATCATACGGTTTATTTCGGAAACCAACCACTCCTTTTTTACCCGCCTTTGAACTCACTGCGAGATGTTGGCGTCTCTTCTATGCAGTGCGGGTGCAATGATATTACGCACTTCAACATGTGGTCTGATGTACAGTAAATCTAGTTGAACAGTATATTTCCGTTCTTTGCGTACATTCATAAATAGTCGCTGATGAACTATGTATTTGCGTGGTTGTATAGCACTTGATTGATTCGGCCATTCTAAGTATATTCCAGATTCTGAGAAAAAATTCTTTGGAAAATATAATTCTAGCGCAACGTTAGTGTCAGTTTTCTAAACGGACGTGCAATTATACATTTTTGTCTTATGGATAGATGAAAAGATTATCACTTTACTATTATTTCGTATCTACAAGGATAATACTTCAGGGTTTCGAATATTAAGAAAAGCAGTTCGTGCCGGTTCTGACAACGTATATGTGGCGGTTCACTTTCAACCTAAATCAAATCAGCGATGAGGCTACCACCACTGCTCCTAGTTACAACCTCTCTTCACTCACTGCTCTGTAAGAGAATCTCAATCATCCGATCCCGACTTTTGATCTTAACACGCATATTTTAACTGAAATACATCGGTGTTGTCAGTAACAACTACCCTTTAAATATTATATATAACCGCAGAAACTAATAAGAGTTTTATCGAAAAGAATATGCTTCCGCTCCACTTCTTCGTCTTTGGAATCTATTCTGGGGAAATGTTAGTTTGATTCTATGAGGCACGAATATTTGTGACAAATGCTGAGAATTGCATCCCGTATTATAAGTTCTGTTTTTTGAATAAAGTAGATTATTATTGTCACAATTGACACTCAAAATCAAAGTTACCCTAATCTTCATCAACTTATCACATTTCCCAAACATATTGCACGGTTAGGAATCCCAGACCAGCATGTTCACCAAACCCACAGACTGCTCCTGTCTGCCGACAATGTTATGCAACCACCAAGTGATATATCATGCTGCTACTTAGCTTGGAACACACTCAAATTTCTAAGAAACTTTATGTCCAAAAAATAAAGGGAAAATATATTTCAAAAAGAACTAGTTTATAATAAGGCACATGAACTATGGGCTTAAGGGGGCCAAAGGAGTTCGTCCAGTCAACTGAATCCCAGCCATTTCGCTCTCAACGGTCAGCTTGTTTACCCGTGCAGATTGAAACACATGTTAGCCAAAATAATTTTCAGGGGACATGATCTCAGTTGCAGAGTTGCGGTGTGACTGGGTAACTCTACAATCTATTCCCATCATCAATGATAAATACACCTATTAGCAGCCGTGAGAGTTACATTCCATCTTCTCTAGGTGAATCGGTGTCATGTGAAGCCTGGCCACCAGGTTAGGTGGGCCAAACGATAGAGTTAGCAGGCAGTATTGCCAAAGCTCACGTATGACTAGATACATGGCTACACAACAACCGTATGTGTTATTTCTAGTTGGAGCCAATGAGAAACAAGTTCGCAGCCAAACTAATAGTTTTTCGGAAGATGTTTCATTCACTTTAACAGGGTAAGGACAACATGAAGTTTGGGACGTTTCGTAATCAGGCACTTAAAATATACTTCCTGAAAATGTATCTGACAGTGTCTTTCACTTGGAAATTCAAGAGTTAGAGCATCGCAATCATTTAGAAACTTACCTGCCTGTATTTATTTTGACAATCGCATTGAGAAATATCATTCAACTGCTTCAATCCGACTGCATTTAAGACGAACTGCTGTCGATCCTCGGAGACACACAAAAACTAGGAGATCCCAACCATTGTGTGAAGCAGACTATCTTACCTCTGGTTAACCCATTACCTACTGACTTTTTTCAAAATCTGATAAATATTATGCTTGGCTAAAGAGGCACAGACTGTGCAAGCTCAGAAGACAGTTATTCAAGGTTCTAGATATTATACACGGATTATGTCTGTTCCATCCACAAAGCGGACGGCGATCTCCTCACTGAGAATTCGAAAATACCTAGACGGATGAAATCTGCAGAGCGGTCCCGAGCAACGCAAAAATACTTCACTTTCGGCAATTGCCAACACACCCTTAGCATTGTTGTGTTACATGTTCAAATTTTCCATGAAGGTTCGTACCTAGCCTGCAATAGCTCAAGGTGTAACAGGACAAAAACACACGGGTAAAATGATAAATACCCAAATGAGAAATACCCAAGAGTCAATTCTGAGAAGCAGGAGGGACAACCTCTATCAAGACTTGATATCAATGACAACAGAAAGACTGATCGTTTGTAAAGACAGCCCACATAATCTGATTTTTGGACTGCTCAAATTCACGTCTCTATGGAGCTCGTGTTCTGCTTTCCTTCCTTGGGTGAGTGCTGCTCGTTGTGTCAAAAAAACTTATGTCTGAGGTACCTAATTGTTCAAAAGACATGAATTTGTCGTCAAATGGTGAAGCCCCCATGCCCACAGTGTGTCTGCTTTTTGACAAACTCCAGTCTTCGAACTCACTTTGGGCTACTCAACGTGAAAGAATCGCATGTGGGCGTCCCTCAGTATTTCCAACCGGTTACCATTATGTTCACATTTTCAACGCCGTCTCTATCGAAGCCTACGCCAGAGCCGGAGCTGTTGGATTTTGTAGCACGAACACCTTAAGCGAAACTGGAGCATACTGGACTGCTGATGTGACTTGCTATTAGTCCTGGATCAAGTGATGCTGGAACCATTCAAATGACGATATCCATTGGGTTAAAGTAAATAGAAACAAATGGTGCGTATGCGTTTGGTCGACGGCCTACTCTCCTATGACCTGCTCACACACCTTCTGTGGCTACCCCAAACCAGCACGTTAGACGTCAAGCAGACTTTCTTTCAGTTTATGGACAGTGAACAAAACTATGCAGCCATGAGCAGCGGCTCCCGTTAGCCAACCTCGCCAAAATGCTCCTGTGCGTAATTGCAACAACATGGAGTCGCTAAAGTGTCCAAATGTTACTGCTGCCAAAGGTTCCGTAAGAAGACACGTAAGTGTCGTCGCCACCACCAGCTGCAAAAGAGTAGGTCCCAGTTTTATTATTCGTTTATATGTTCATGTAATAGTGAACCACTAATGTTAAGGGGACGCCCTGACAGAGTACCTTCTAAAATGCCCTTGGACACTGGTTCGTCGGCGCCCCTCGTGCAGACTCCGTTTCCTCGATGTTTGCCCTATGACCCACCACCAGCGCCCGATCACAACGTCTTGACGGCAGCTAATGGTGCTAAGATGGAAGCTCGAGCTCCCTCACACCCATTGGAGACCTTAATGCTCACCATCAGCTCATCATCTGTGGTAAGATTACAAGGGATCTGATTCTCAGTGTGGAATTTCTCACTCTAAACTGCACCATCACGGACGTCACCCACGCCAAGGTTACCATTGACTCGGAATCTATACCCTCATGTTACTTTCAGCAACCAACCTGAGCTGAAAAAAACTTAGCCGTATCCTCTATTCTTAGTCACGTTCCGGTCAATCCATCTGCTCCTGCTCTCATTCTGAGGCAAGTGTTAACATTAATTGAGGAATTTCCCCATATGTTTTATGAAGGTGATAGTCCGAGAAGCATCAGTGCTGTCGAACACCCTAATGACACTAGGAGTCACCAACCTGTGTGTCAACAAACCGTACGAATTCCCGATCACTATCAACCCCAGTTATATAATCCAACACAAAACATGTTGAACAAGAATATCATCGTACGCTCACACTCACCATGGGCATCAGCCATCGTCTTGCTAAAGAAGAGGGACGTATCTGCATGAGTGTGCATTGACTATCACAAACCAAATGCCATAACAAGACCCGACTATTCTTCAATTCCTCGCATTGATGCCACTCTCTGTGAGCTTACCGGCTCCAAATGGTTCTATCTTAGTTCTGACATCTAGGTACTGGCAAGTAGAAGTGCGTCCGAACGATTGCCCTAAAAGTGCATTTATTCTTCTGAGTGGTCTATATGAATTCCGAGCAATGTTGTTAAGACTATGTAATGTCCCCGTCACATTATAACTTTTGATGTAGGCAGTTCTTGATATGTTGGTCCCGCATAAGTGTTTAATGTATCTTGACGGCATTAATCCTAATGAGAAGTCCACAGAGGATCATACTGGCAACCTACGGACTGCCTCTACGCGGCCAAGTACAAATAGCCCAAAGTTGAAAC